AAAATCTTAGAATTAACAAGTCTGATTTCTTTCATACAATATGTTTGGTGCTGTAGACGTACTTTTTTTTCCACGGGGTCATAATTCCGCGGAATCTCAATTTCTGTTTAATCCGCGGGTAGAAAATTACGCGGATTTCTTAGACTGTCACTTTATGCCTTACATTTATATTAAGTACGCTTGGACAAATTTCCGCGGAAAATTTGTGACTGCGGACATAGCGTAAATTAATACCACGCGGAAAAAAGTACTTCTACGGTATCTGAATATAGAAGCCAACATAAAAACACTAATGACATCTTCTTTAACGTATTATGTAACCTGTCTTTTTATCACACTAGATAAAATTCATGGCATCGTACATTTTACCCAAAATGAGTCTTTCGGTAATCAATACAATTTCCCTTTAAGCTTCTTTACTACACAAAAACACCCACCAGAACAGATTGTCCAATTACAGAAATGTCCCCAGATTCCGACCAGAAATAAAAATGTTTCCCAGGAGAGTGCTATTGAAGGAAAAATGCAAGTAACTGTATTCTGTTGGTTCCCTATTTTATCCTTATTGCAGAAAAAAGACAGAAAACATTCTGTGAAAATTGTATAATCTTAAGTTATTGATGAGCTCTAGCTATACTCAATAGAACTGTCGTTTCACTAATTGGAATATCAAAAAGAAAAAAAGAGCTCTTTACATTTTTAATCAATTTCTAGCGAAAGACAGTAATTTCAAATTCACATGATATCAATTTTGTTTCATGAAATGAAAAAATGCGTACATATACATATTAAACAACAAGGCCAAGCATAACGTATCATTAAAAAGATTGAGGCATACCAGGTCCATTCCTTCGGAATGTTTTAAACATTGAAAGCCTTATCTTCTACGGATCACAATACTTATAAATTACTAGTCCCTATCTATCAAATCAGAATATACAATAAATGTACAATATTTTTTCTCAATATCCATAAGATGAACTAGATTTAGTCTAGACTTAGTCTAATTTGGTCACTTTTATTTGAAAAAAATTCTATTCGTCTTTAAAATATCTATTAAAAAGCTTCCCTTCTAAAGTTAAATAAAATAAATCCAAAGCTGAATCTAATTATGTGATACCATTGTCTTCCAATGCGTAATTATATCTCTGTCGAAGACGTATTGTCAATTATTAATGGTATGATTTCCATTCTTATGTCGATATGATATTTCCTCTGTTTCATATTTGGATATTTTACTTGACAAAGACGCTAATGGTAATCTAACAACGTTAACCCAGCTCTATGATAAACGCAATGTTTATATATCTTAGTTGATTCGACAGGCAAATGCCTGCTATACGTATAAACAATTTTTAAAACGAGTTAAATTATTGACAAACATGTTGATGAAACAACAATATCAGCAGTCTCGTTTCACGTCATCTTTGGCCAAAGTTCACTATAGTTAACTATATTTTACTAAAGTTAAATATAGTAAATACATAATACTTTGATTTGAAACATTTCCCTAGAATTTTTTTGAAGATTTTGAGCTTTTATAATTTTTAATTACATTCCTATAATGTATTTTGGGGATGGGGAGGGGATATGTAAATATACAAAAAAGTAGCTCGTTTTGATATCCGAAAAATGATATATGTATACATTGTGTATCAAAATTCTATAGTAAAAAGAACTTTGATTTACTATAGTGAAAACTGATTTACTAAAGTCAACTACAAAACTTTTTTTTAGTTTTTAGGGCATCAAAGAAAAGTATATTGTTGTCTTTAGGAGAGAAAAAGAATTTTCTACGGTAACTGAGAATTGAAGCATAAAACTTGCAGTAATGCATCATGAATATTTTATGCAATATAAGAATGAACTCGACAAATGAGCTGAAAATATGAAGGCTTTACATGCAAATTGATCACCCTGTACCATATTAAATTCCCTTCTTAGAGAGGAAAATTTCTAATAAATCTCCTTTACAATAGAGTGCTAAACCGAAAATAATGCACGCAAGTCTCTTGTAGGTTGTGGCAATCAACGGCCTTTATTACAGTCTTATGACGTAATAAGGAAGTAATTCTAGTCTACTTTATGACAAAGCTTTCCGCTGACTATTTTTAACAAATGGCTCTTTTTCACTTAAACTGCCAAAATAGAGCGAAACATCACAAAATTAGCGAAATAATTGCATAAAAACAACGAAAACGTTATATTCATTAACAGAATTTACATGATTTGACTGTCACATTCTCTTTAACGGCCTATATAGAGTTCCATATTTTTAAGAAGAATGTAAAAAAAATCAATACATACATGTATTTCACTCAAAAATAAATCATGAGTACATCGATCATGTTTTGAGAATTTTGAAATTGGCATTTTATTTATTAGAATTTTAAAACAGATATCCATGTAAATTGAGAGAAATTAAATCACAATCGTATGAATGAAAACACTTTAACATTTGGGTCCTAAATATTGGAGCTCTTGGCGGGAACCATCGCTCGGCAGGGGATGCTCACTCCTCCATTGCACCCGATCCCATCTCTGATGTTTAAGAGGTCCATATTTGCTCTGCTCAAAAAATTGTTTTGTTTAATGAACTTTTAAATTTAGTGTTTAACGGCTGAGGGCCAGTTTGAAATCCATTACCCCCTTTAACTTTATTTATTCAAATTTGAAAAAAAAAACGAATTAGTTTATAACATAAGTTATGTGTACAGGTCAAAGCTGATGGGAACATAGTTGTAATAAGTGTTGAAATGTTGTACATTTTAATGTTATTGATTTATCATAGTTGTGAAATTGTTCAATGTAAGCAAAAGCTTAATAGAATTTATATTATAAACTGTTTCCTTAATTCTCACTAAATTCGTTTTTAAGCGCGTTTTAGTAAATATACAATCAAGTCCTGTTCTTTAAGCTTGACGAAAATAATAATTTCAGTTAAGGAGAAACTTAAATACTTTACAAGATATATGTGATCTCCACCATAGGCTTGCGTTTCTAATTGACAATAACTTTGTAGTTTGTGGAGACCAGATCATCAAGCAACTTGGACTAACTTTGTAATAATAATGCCTCGTTATTTCTAGACCTGTTTTCATAATATTATGATGAAACAAAATTTATAAATAAAAAAAATCTACAAAGTAAAGCCTCCTTTTGTGGCCTTTAGCTATAACACCAACATGTTATCAACTTATTCGATACAATTGAAAAAAAGAGACACCAAAGAGTCACCTTTTTTCATATTCGGAAGTATTGATAGAAAAGATATTGATGGCAAACTAGCGATGAAGCTCAATGATGAATGCAATGATTTAAATTTTCTTTATAATGTAGCAAAATATCTGTGCACCATTATCACATGCATATGGAGTTTATATCTCACAGATGATTTCATACGCAAGAGCACATTCTACAAACGAAAATTTTCTAAAAGAGACAGGCTTTTGACAAATACATATAAATCGATGATACGAAGATACCGACAATATCTTAAAAGTGTAAAGTCGATACAATAATCTTGTAAGCAAAAAAAATTGTTTAATTCCTATGTTTTTCATACCAATTGTTAGGACACAATTTTACAAAGAATGTTTTGAGGATTTTTTTCGTTTTCCAGATCTTACAAGTGACATACGGCGGCTTTGATTGTTCGACAGGGAATGCTCACTTCTCCTTGGCAGCTGATCCTACATCTGTTGCCAGGGGTCTGAGTGAGCTCTACTCTCTGTGATAAAGATGAAATGGAATTTAATCATTGTTCGTTATATTTACATTTCATGAAAAAAGTCTACAGGGGATGCTCTCTCCTCCAAGCAGCCTGATCACACTCACTGTAGAAGTAAGTCTCTTTAAGGATAATTAATACATGTCTTAATTTTTAATATAAGTGCAATACATTTCACATACTGTTGATACTCGTATTATTTTGGATATCTTATATTTTGGAAAAATATAGATCATTTTTTTTAAATAAAAATGAAATAAAAAGTAGAGATGTCGAGCATTGATCGATCTCAAAATCCTTTAAACATTACAAATTCGGAACAGGGTAAATCGCGGACCCATCGAAACACCAGAGGTAGGATCAAATGCCTAGAGGGATGTTTGTACACAAAGAATCCTTGAATATTAAACATCGAAAAATCCTAATAGTCCACATGTGATACTGTTTTGACTAAACTAACTGTACCGAGTTAATTGTGTCGCGTAAAAACTGTTTTTATACATACATGTTTGTTTATTATATATCCCCAAAGTATGTTAAACTACATCTAAAATATGGTACCGTTGGATTTTTAGCAGTATGCTTATTATGTATTTAATCATATATAGAACATTTCTAAAAAATAAAAATATGTTCAACAAGTACTGAAATATTTTTATACGAGAATTCTTTGAAATCATGAATACCATTGTATATATATTAATATATTGGACTTTTATATTAATTTTATGTAAAGAATTGGTTAAAGATTCTGTTGATTTTTTTTTTTATGATTAATAAGTTTGAAATAAATTAAGGTCATATATCTGAAATACATTACGACTTTTCCTGTATATTTAAATGTTTGTCTGTAAATGGTCTTGTTTGTTTACTCTGTCATCAAGTTGCTTCCAGATATTGCGCTAGAATTGTCGATTTGCATTTAAGTTATATTTTCCTTTGAAATTAAAGTCTATGAAATTTTAAATCTTGTAATAATATTTAAAAATCACTTTGGCTCTGAGCAGAAAAAAAACATGCTTAGTGATTAATTAATTGATTAATTAAGCAATTAAACATTTTAATTGAAAAATACACAACTTAGTTAATGCTTATTCAAAAAATACATCAGTAAAAAAAAATTAGCGACATTCAATACTCTGCAAAATGCAGCTAATGATATAAGTATAGTTATTACGGCTAATTTAAATGCTTTTTGTAAATCCTTAAAAACAAATATTGTCGTATTTAATGTCATTAACTCTTTTGATTTTTCAATGCAGGATCTTACCTGAGGCCATGAATATGTAAAATTCCCATAATTTAAACAACACAATAAATTTAGTCCCTGGTAACATAATGGCTGATGTCAGGATATGACTTTTTGGCGGGCTTTGGTCTGGCAATGGCACCTTTTTCTCAGTACCATGATGAGTAGAGAGAGACAGAGAGTTAGCAGGACTCTCTCGCTCCTGGAACTTCCAATCAATGACCCTGGTTAAATTACTCGCTGCTTTAAAGACCAACTCCTGGTGCCTGGGCTGTAAAAGAAGATCTCGGGAAATTGCAGGCTTTAACTATCTCAAATGTAATCTTTCTCAAAGTCTTATAACGCTGTAAAACGGAAGTCAAAACCCGATCCTAATTTTAGCATGTTTTAATACGGTTGACATTGTTTTATACACGTTTCGAAATACTGGTGTGTATGTTGTTGTATAAATAAAAACAACATTTACAGCAACATCAATATCTTACTAGCTATTTTGAATGGTCCTTTGTTTATTTTATTATTTTTTTTTCTTTTGTCATAATTTTGGTTTGGAGCTCTAATAGAACTCGATATTTTCTTTAAATTAAGTGGAGTTGATAATTGAGTTATTACAACACTTTTGAGATTTATTAAATATCGATGACGATTTAAATTGTTTTCTCTGCTAGAAAATTGAAATGTTGTAAATAACTATCTTGCTCAAAAAGGGACTTCATAATGATAATCTGTATTCAGGAATAGGCATTGTACATGAGCCATATGGTATAATTGATAAACATATTAAAAAAAGAGGTGAACATAATTTAATAATTGAATTTTAAAACATAAATTTCATAAGAAATATTACGTTTTGATCATAAATTTTAAAAAATAAGCATATACATATGCCGAAATCCAAGGATAGCCCATGAAAGTTAGTATGACATTTCTAATTGGGTTCATTCAATTACTTATTAATCACTGACTATTGTCAAACACAATATACTTACAAATGACAAAAAATCACAAAGGTCATCTTATGAGAAAGCATCTAAAAATTGAAAATAATATAGGAAAAAATAGTTCTCAATTGAGTACAGAGAAGGAGGGAAATGGGTAATATCTCTATAATTAAATTCATGCGTCGGCTTGATTTATCAACATACACATATATTTAGTGCAGTTTCATATTTCTATTTGATGCGAAGTGTTTATATAGTCTACTATACATGTACGTATGTATTTACATAGACTATTACATTGGTCATTATAAATAATGAATCTTTTAATCTAAAGATCTAAGTATTAATTGACATTTAATAGTTCCTCATACCTATTCATCTAAATAGATAAACAAAATATTGGGAGATGTTTGTAGCATATTTTGATTAATTTGAGCTACTTTTCTAATCAAATACAGATTTGGTTAAACACGGAATGTGTTTATCAATATCATTTATAATTTAAATCTCTCGAGATTCGAGTCTGCTTTATTTACACATTTGAATCAAAGCCCGTCAAACTGCATCAAAGTCTCACCATGTGCATCTATTTACAGTACAGTAAACTTATTAAGACAAAAACTGTGAAACGTTTTGTTCTAATTTGTTGATTGTAACTGAAATTCAATAATATTAGCATTGTTAATATATAAACACGGTATATACAACTGTAGATATGAACACAATATTAGTTTTCGAACTTGATTGACTTTTGCAGTGAATATTGTATAAATAGTACATGTAGTTGAGTGTAACATTGAAAATTTTTACCCAAGGTAAACCATGCAGTCGCTATTTTTGGAACAACACCTGTCGTCAAGCAGTGTCTACTGTTGTTACGCTGGAAGGCGTGATTTCATTATTAAGCGGGAAATAATTTTTTTTTTAAATCTACTACTTTACATAAAGTATAATATTGTAAATAATTATATATTTGATATGCGTACATACTATATCCAAATTTTCATGGTAGGTTATTTCTACCAACTAGGACAAAACTCAAAGAACAAACTATTCCAAAAATAACGTAGATACAATATAGATTCACTAAATGTTAATTTTAAGTAAGAAACTATCAAATAGTATTTTAGCAGCAGTTATCTGGTATTTGATATTAGCATTATCTGAAAACACAAGTAATTGTTAATAAGGTTTTTAAAAATCATAGGAAATAAAATGTAGTAATTTAGACTAGCTCTTTGATGTACTTTACAAGTGAAAAGTGCAAGTCTGATATGGCTGTTTTCTCAAACTCAAGTTAAACCTTTCAAACAATTAGGTCCATTTTTCTGAACCTACAGTTAGTTTTATGAAAAAAAATGTTTTCGTTCTAATCCTGGGAGATTTGTGTTTTTTCTAAGATTTCAAATTGTATATATCTTTTCTCTAATCATGTAGCCAACATTGAAAACAAAAAAATCGATGACCTTTATCTGGTTTCTTGTGATAAGTCTATTTATCTTCTGTGGTAAAGCTCATCGAAATTCACGAATTGCTACATATTGCTATTTACAAATACATGTCAAAGTCGTATTTTTTCTCCTTTTAATCGTTTGATAAATACCACACATCGATATGTAAGTATCCCTTAAACCCAACCCTTATCACTTGACATACACTCACCCAATATCTAGATCTATAAATATAAAGAGACACAGTTTAGTAAACTGTGTTAAAAATAATTCAAAAAATTGGATAAATTTCTCAAATCATCATTTGTTGAAAGAGGAATATGATTGTTTCTTTTCATATTTGTTTTATCTAATTACAATTTAAATAAACAGACTCTTCGAAGCTCAATATGTTTAGAGGCAAATAAAAATAAAAATAATTAACTGTTTATGAAAAAAATGTTAATTTTTGTGAATCAAAAGCGAACAATACACCTCATATAAAATGGCCTTCATACATTCTTCCCCACACGTTTATGATTTAAAATTAATATTTACGTAAAGGAAAAGCGTACTAATTACAATGAATCAATCCTACTTTGAGTATTTAATGTAAATCAGGTCATTTACAAATGTTACTGAAATTAGCCTTGAAAATCAGAAGAAGTTCAAGTAAATATAAATCAATTTTCTTCTGAACGAACGATTATTATTTGAATCGAATCTTGTTACCGAAAACACCAATAGATAGAACAAATCATTCAAAGGAAACTGTTGCAGCGACTGAACGCACAAAAAAAGGAAATCTATTTGAGAGAGAGAGAGAGAGAGAGAGAGAGAGAGAGAGAGAGAGAGAGAGAGAGAGAGAGAGAGAGAGATTTTATATCAATCATGTTGCAAATATAAATACATTCTTGATATAAAAAACTATTGATTTCCTTGACTCTAAGTTTGAATCCAGGTCATCATAATCGTTACTGACATCAATATTCCGTTTTATTGTTACATGTAGGTCAAGAGCTGCAATATACATTTATTGTTATTTTAGTATTGGGTTTATTGTCACATTTTCTCACATACTCACAAGTCTCAATAAAATCTTAATGCAAAAAGTGTTTGTCTCTTGATAGAAGGCACCGCAGAGGAGGGTCATATTTGCATGAATTTGGATGTTATATTAACTGCAGATGATAAAGACAAACAAAACAACTAATCTGTACGGCAAAGAGATGATTCCAGCCTTTAAATCGTCTATTTTCATTCTTTATTTTGATATAGTTTGCTATCAAATGACTTTGTGTTGTTTGATTGGGCTTTTGAGCTTGTTATATTCTAAATACAATGACCTTGTCAGCAAATACAATTATCATTGAGTCAAATGCTGACTGACGTTTTTCATACTAATTGTTAGTTTATTACTTATACACTGAATTGACCATGGATTTTCCCCTCCCTACCCGATCATAACAAGGAGCACATGGCGGATGTGAGTGGTCGGAAGGGGATGCTCACTCCTCCAAGGCACCTGATCCCACTTTTGATGTTTGTGAGATCCGTGTTTGCACTGCTCCTATTTTGTATTGTTTAATGGACGTTTGATCTTGGATACTGTTTGTTATCTCTATATAATTTAATTTTAGTTGTAAGACGTCATTTGATTGGGTAAAAGATTTCATCCATTTTGTATAACATAACTTGTCTATGTCACAATGAGTTATGTCAAAAACACATTACTCCGCTTGACGTCACTTTTTAAAATATGCTATATTTGAAGTTTTTTCAGAGGAAAAATTGCCTCATTGTCAACACTGAAATTAAATTATAAGGAATGAAGCTTTTTTTCAACTTATGTTATACGATATTAATAACAGAACTTAGGGCAGTTTACGCCTTTTTATAAACCGCTTCGTAAACTGCCCCAAGTTATGTTATAACGTATTACAGTAATAAGTTGAAATAAGCTTCACTCCTTTAAAGTTTATTGTAATACCGTTTGTTATATCCAAATATTTCATGTATGAGGTGTTAATGCCTTTGAATTAATTTGATATTCAAGCATTTTCTAAGTACAGTTTATTCTTTAATGAAGGTTGGCTATTTACTGAAAAGTTGATATCACTTGGATTTCAATAAAAGAACCAAGCTATATGATAAATGGGATGATTTTAACTTTTCAATCATCAACTTCCTTTCCTTTTGCAGCAATATTCCTTCATCACCTGCATGCTGGGTTTATATCTCTCAGATTATTCGATACGAAAGAGCATGCTCTACCTATGAACAATTTCTAAAACGAGGTAAATTATTGACAAACAAGGTGACGAAACAAGAATATCAGCAGTCTTCTTTAAAGTCATCATTTCGTAGTTCTATGGTCGTTACAATGACCTTGTCAGCGAATACAATTTATCATTGAGACAAATGATGACTGACGTTTTTCATACTTATTGTGAGACCATTATTTACACACTGAATCGATGACGGATTTTCCCATTATTTTGCGATCGATCATGACAAGGAGCACACGGCGGGTATGACCGGTTGGTAGGGGATGCTCACTACTCCAAGGCACTTGACCCCACTTCTGATGTTTTTAAGGTCTGTGTTTGCTCCGCTTCTACTTTGCATTGTTTTACGGACTTTTTATCTAAAATACTGCTCATTTACTCCATATATTTCATATATTTAAGAACAATTTTTAAGCAATTGTTTTTATATTCAATTTAACAACAGAATATTGCGTCCATATATTTTATACATAAGACACAAGGCACTCCTGGACACTCGATTTCTAATTGGAATTTCCAGGGGTCAGTGTTTTATAATTCTTCCACCTATTCGTATTGTTTGTAGATTCTTCGTTAGATCGATCTTTTTTTTTCTTC